TACTATGGCCCCAGAAGGCTTCAGCTATCGCCTCGTGTCTCTCATACATACATACGTGCATGCGTGCGTGTGTGCGTGCGTGCGTGAGTGCGTGCGTTAGCAAACTACTGCAATATGGGCGTGGGCCACTTTAGGATTTTGTTGACCACTGAAGGGTCTTTTACATATTCACACATTTTCAAGCTGTTGCTTCAACACTTCTTCCGCTAGCCTTGAACGACAGTCACCGATCCCATTAGTATCGAAACATGTGAGGGGCACTTCACAATTTGACAAACTGGTGTAAGGTGTAATTTCCCCCGTTGATTTTACCATACATTCCTGTATGTTTTCAGGTGAACAATTGACTAGCCTTTAAATGTGTTTCCATACGTCACCAGTGGGGAGAATTTGATCATTACTAAACTGACGATCAAAAGAAGTTGTCACATGCTTTGGTGGACTCTAAAACAAAACGAACACTCAAGTTATGTTGATGTAAACAAATATTTATAGTTCATTAATATGTTATCAATCTTGCACAATATTGAGGTGATGGACTTATAAAATCATTAGTAACAGTTACTGTGAAACACTAGGGGTACAAATGTCGTTTTTTCACACAACCTGGAAAAGCAACTGTGGCCAATAATTGGTGAACCCTGTGACTGGGGACTTGAGAGACGCCATCAGTGTGACCTCCTCTGGCAAGAATGCATGCTTCACAACGCCTTCTCATGGATGACGTCAACCGTCTGATGACGTAAGCCGGTATGCGTTGCCACGTATCGTTTAAGGCATTCTCCGGGTCGTGAGGATTAGTTGGCTGTTTGGGACGTCTCCTCAGCTCTCTATCAAGATGATCCCATTGGTGTTCTATGGGAGACATGTCGGGGAACGTGAGGGCCATGGCAAGACGGCTACATTGACGTTGTTTAGAAAGTTCGGAGTGATCCTGACTGTGTGGGGACGTGCATTGTCTTGTTGCAGAAGGGTACTGCTACCGGTCTCAGGGCTTCGTCAATAAACCGTTGTGCATTCAGGTTGCCACGGATAAGAACCTGTGGCGTCTTCTGGTCACCACAAATCCCACCCCACACCATGAGACCACCGCCTCCTTGGGGATGGACGTTGTGGACACAATTTGGAGCCAATCTGTCGTTTCTACGGCGGTACACCCGGACTCTCCCGTCTGCATGGAACATATTAAATCTACTCTCATCAGTGAAAAGAATACGTTGCCATTCTCGCCGCTGGCAACGTTGTACACGTCGGGCCCATTGTAGTCAGGCGAGGCGATGTTGGGCGGTCAGCGCCATCCCGCGGAAGGGTCGGTAGGCCCTGATACCGACATGAAGCAATCATCTTCTCACTGTGTTGTCGGCTTACCTGGTGACCCAATGCCGTTGCTGCAGATTCCGTCACTGTCAGGAACCGATTGCGTAGATGTAACGTGCGTAGATATCTATCTTGTCCGGGTGTTGTGACGCGTGGTCTGCCACTCCGAGGTCTGTCACAGGTTCTGCCAGTCTGGTGCTACCGCTGGAACAACTTAGTAATGGTCTGACGTGAGCATCCAAAGGTTCTTGCAAAACGTGTCTTTGGCGTCCCCGTCACGGCCATACCAATGGCTCTCTCCCTCTCTTCTGCACTTAAACGTGGCATCGCTCTGATGTTGTTGGTTTTTTTTGGTTGATGTGGCAGTGTGTGACCATTTGGATTGAAATATATAGTGGTATCTGCATGGAACGTCCATGGAAAAACAAAAAACGTATTTTTGGTTTTAGGGTCGCAGTACGTGCATTGACGGGTGCATGAGCTGGGTGGACTATGTTCGAATGCAGTGTTCCCATAAGTCACTAACATGTGTTCTACCCCGGTTTGGGATTGTATTCATTCATTAACAATCTTTAAAGCTGCCCGCGATGATATTGCTTTGCCAAAAAGATTAAATCATGTCGAAGACATAGAACTCTACTGCAGTGTATTTTAATTGGTGTGTAGCATGGCTTCACGTCATCATTGTCAATTGAAATTGACATCGTTCCATATTCGCATCGTGGACCACGCTTTGCGGTACGCTTTATAGGAGATATGGTCCTGCGCTTTTCTTCAGGACTGTCGCATGCTTTGCACGGTAATCTGCTGTGCTGTAATGTCGATGAAAACCTGGCGACGCGACCGGCAATGTATCCCTGAGCGTTCAGTGATATAAAAGAAGTCCTTTATTTTGTCAAGAATCTGCTCCCAAGCTTTTAGTCTTTAATGTGCTACTGCGTCTGGCGTGATGACCGGTAATGCCGGAAAGTCTGTTTCCAGGCCTATTGATGCGTTCAGCCTGGAGTTGTGGGTATTTGTTTGCACTCTTTTCTTTCATTTGGGGTTCGTCTCAAAGAAGTTTTTCTTTTCGCCCCATACGTTGTGTATTCACACGATAAATGTTGAACGCCTTAGCGCTTGCAGTGACTTTTGACATATAGGACCAAGAACAGAAATGTCTAACAACCAAAGGCAACTTCAGAACAACGTTTAAAGTGTTGTGTGTGGTAAGTTTCTGTTTGGCACAGAACAGCCAAGTAGCCCGTGAAAGTTTTTTGAAGACAACTTTTGCCCAAAAGTAGCGTCCAATATGGCGGCCATCATATAAACATAGGCACATTTGACGGATGCTACTGTGTAGAAAACATGGCATTACAAAGTATGCAACGTTTGAAAGCCGTAGCCCTTGTAGTTTTAGTGCGTACATTTGGGAGGCATATGCAGTCAGGATTTTGTTGAAAAACATCACCAAAACTTCAATCCCAAATAGCGTCCAAACGGTGCATTTGATGACTTTGAGCCGTCCAGGTGAAATTGTAGGTATTTTGATTGCGCATCTGCTCAAGAACTTGCAGTGTATTTTAATTGTGTGTAGCGCTAGCTCTCGTCATTGTCAACTGAAATTGACATCGTCTCCCATATCTGCACGTGGACCACGCTTTGCAGTGGTAGTCGCTTTATAGGAGATATGGTCCTTGCGCTTTCCTTCAGACTGTCGCATGTTTTGCACGGGTAATCGTCCGTGCTGTAAATGTTAATAAAACTTATGACACATTCGGCAATGTATCCCTGGGCCGTCGGTGATATAAAGAAGTCCCTATTTCGTTAAATCTGCCCAAACTTTGGGTTTTTGAATGTAAGCATTATTTATGATGACTGGTACGTTGTTGGAAGACTGTTTGCGTCATATTGAGCGTGTTCAGCCTGGAGTTGTGGGTGAGTTTGTTTGGTACTCTTTTTCTTTCATTTGGGGTTCGTCTCAAATAGTTTTTTTTCTTTTCGCTCCCATACGTTGTATTCACACGGATAATGTTGAACGCCTTAGCGCTTGCAGTGACTTTTGACATAGGACCAAGAACAGAAAATGTTCAACAACCAAAGGCAACTTCAGAACAATCGTTTAAAGTGTTGTGTGTGGTAAGTTTCGTTTGGCACAGAACAGCCAAGTAGCCCGTGAAAGTTTTTGAAGACAACTTTTGCCCAAAAGTAGCGTCCAATATGGCGGCCATCATATAAACATAGACACATTTGACGATGCTACTGTGTAGAAACATGCATAGACACAAAGTATGCAAAGTTTGAAAGCCGTAGCCCTTGTAGTTTTAGTGCAGCACATTTTGGGAGGTATGCAGTCAGGATTTTGCTGAAAAACATCACCAAAAACTTCAATCCCAAATAGCGTCCAAACGGTGCATTTGAGCGACTTGAGCCGTCCAGGTGAAATTGTAGGCATTTTGATTGCGCATCTGCTCAAGAACTGCGGCACACATTGGAGCATTAGTTTTGGAGATATTTGCATTTGCATTTGAAATTTTTGAATTAATTTTCAATTATCTGCCCTTTGCTATTGGGCCTACAGCCTAGAGATTTTAATGGGGAATATCTACACCTTGGTGGGCATCTGGGTGAATTTTTCAAGCGAAATAATAATACGGCGGAAAAATAAATAAAGTCTTATAATGCGCTAATCTCCACGCAACAAAGCATGCTCAAAGGGCTAACATCCTGATTATTATTACCCCGGATAACCCAAGCTGCCTGTTAGGCGCTAGAAGGTTATAGTCATATGACTTTATCAACCGGGTACCCATTTTCTGCTGGGTGAACAGAGGCAATTTTGAACAAACTCACTTGCCTAAGGTGAGACCACATGCATCACATGCGCTTCGTTGTGGTGCAGGACTGAAGTCCTAGAAACTCTCAGGAGTCAAGCTGCCAACACGGTCACCCATCCAAGGATTGTCTGAGCCCAACGTTGCTTAACTTCAACTGATTCGTGACCTGAGCGCTATGCACAGGACCACGTGCCATCACAATCATGCAATGCAAAATCCTTGTTAACCGTTTTGTACAAAACTGTCTTATTTCAGTTGTGGATGAGATCAACCAGCCATGGCTATGTAAAGTGTTATTTCCGGCTCCTTCCATCCTGAAGAATTCCATTCAAGATCACATCGATTCACTTTAACTTAACATTCTTAATAACCAAATGGACACATGAGAAATTCACTAAACAGATTACAACGTATTGCAAAGGTAACGCATTTCTTGATTAAAGCATCTCCACACCCCCAACACCGAACATCGGAATGGAAGTCATTATTACGTCTGTGGCGACTCGTTGCGGTCGGGTTCGATTCCCCACATGGGTACAATGTGTGAAGCCAATTTACGGTGTCACCCGCCGTGATATTGCTGGAATATTACTAAAAGCGGCGTAAAACTAAACTCTCTCATTCACTCACACTGTGGCGACACTAATTATTATACTGTCTCCAACAACATGAAGGAAAGTTGCAGTAATTATGCAGATGGATTCCAAAATCGAAATTTAAGAAAGCACATTAACAACTGATGCATCATGCCAACAGTCCGTATGGCCATCTTTAAAATCATGTTAATAGTTGTGTGTCCAGTACTATCATGTCGCCGCCGAATAGCTGCAAACTTGCTGACGCAGCGTAAAACATCATTCACTCACTCACCGTTATAACATAATGTATTTATAACATACCTGTTTCAGCTCTTCATAATACACAAGGAGTATTGGATGGTCTGGGTAGTTCTGAAGAGCCCTTTCCCAGCTCGACATATTCTCAAACCAGCTACCCCACTCCACTACCACACGGGGGAAAACAATAGACAGTAAAATGTCAATAAACAACAATCTTTCTATTTATAAAAACAGAGTCACAACGCAACATATATCTCCTCATTCTCTGTAGAACGCTTTAAGTATGGGGAGATGCTAACAGACGAATCCCTTAATCACTTAGGGTGTGTATTGCAAAATCCGATAATTATAAATTTTATGAAATCGGTGTTTGGAGAATGTAAGTAAAATAATAAAAACTGGATGTTATCATCATCAATATTAACATTTAATAGCAAATGCGATTATTAGTAAATAATATGATTCGTCACTACCCAAAATAGTGTGTCCCACATGTTCCTTAAAGCTCTCATTTCAAACATATATTTACTTGCACATACTTGTATGTCAGACAAGGCATCATAATGAGACAAACATCCATTTTTCTCACTGGCAGACTATGCAAGATAAATTGTGTAAGGAAGAGTTATCTCCCACTATATGTCTTTAAACTTACATGTATCCAGTAAGATAATGCGTATAATTTGTAACTGCGATATGCAAAATACACTCACTTTTTCCACCGATACTTAGTTCTAACCAATCCGACAATGGCATATTCCACAGCTTGTCATATGAAAGATTAATCTTCTTAATGCATGTATACCAGGATACCAAGGCGTCTTTTGGATCCCGAATGAGGTACACAATTTTCGTCTTCCGGTCTATTACCTCCCTTGGTAGTTCTTCAAATAGAAGGTGGGAACTAAGAACTCTTGGTGATGGGAACTTGTCAAGTTCTTCCTGCGATGCCTGCTCCAGGTGGAGAGATTCCTTCCGGTCCGGAATGGTCTCTATGACTCCATTCAGCAGCATGTTGATGATCTCAAAGTTCCAGTGTGTTCCTGTGAAGCGACAAAACCAGTGTTCCAGATAGTTCTGTCATATGGTCTCTGCCATAAGGAACCTCGATTCTGCAATACCGCCTATATTATGAGCATGTAAATGTGTTTATGAATCACAATGAGTATGATTTAACGCCTCTTTCAGCAATATTCCAGCAATATCACGGCGGGGACACCAGAAATGGGCTTCACACATTGTACCCATATGGGAAATCGAACCCGGGCCTTTGGTTTGACGAGCGAATGCTTTAACCATTGAGCTACCACCCCTATTGTGCAGTGACGTCACTTACCTGACCTCATGTACCCACATAGCAGGACATCATCATCGCGGAGTTTCAAATTGGGAATATTCAAGAGAAGGTCCTCATCAAAGACGAAAGGAAATGGTCGTCCGTTGACTTCTAAGATTTTGTGGAGGTTGGTCGGGTCAGAGCTGGGAGACACTGTAATGATGGGCATGGTTGACGGCGACTTGTCACCTAGAAGACAGTCACTACTTGCAATAATATTGTCATCCTCATCTCTTCACGAAACTATCGTAGCCATGGCAATGTGATTCACAGTTTTGCCCTACCAACCAAAATGTGGCCAGCGGATGGATGCCAACCTATCCTAATACCCACCTAGAATATTCAATCATTTGGGCAGGTTTAGGTATCAGTGAGTGAGTTTAGTTTAACGACGCACTCAGCAATATTCCAGCTATATGGCGGCGGAATGTATATAATCGAGTCTGAACCAAACAACCTAGTGATCAACAGCATGAGCATCCATCTACGCAATTGGGACACGATGGTGTCAACTAAATCAGCGAGCCTGACCACCCGATCCCTCTTACGACACGAATGGGTTGCTGAGGACCAATTCTGACCCTGATCGTCACAGGTAAACTGTTCCGTGGAAGGGCTCAACCCACGTTCCATCAACAGTCACAAAGCATGCAAGGAGTCTTCTGGCTCAGCTTCAATCATATCTAACCCGGATTTTCATGGGTGAGAAATAATATCGAATTATCCGATATTAACGGAAACTCCGTCAACAAATTTCGATCCCCTTTTTATACCCTGCCAAAAGTATTAAAAAAAGAAACATATTTAAGCCCTCTGTCCTCAGCTGGAAAAGTAGATACGTAACCATGGGATCAACAACAAAAGAGATGTAAGATAATATACCAAACACAGCGAGGAGTGAGTGAGTATTGTTTTACGCCGCTTTTAGCAATATTCCTGCAATATCACAGGCGGGGGACACCAGAAATGGGCTTCACACATTTTACCCAAGTGGGGATTCGAACCCGGGTCTTCGGAGTGACGTCCGAATGCTTTAACCACTAGCTGCCCTATTGCTCCACAACATGGAGGAGACTACTCTCGATAATCAACACGGTTGGTACACTGACACGGATGTAAAGAGGTTGGCCTGAACTAGGTAGACTCTTTGCTTCGTTGCCACAGCCAAGTAGTGGGTGAGTGAGTTGGTAGAGTCCACCGTGTCAAACTAGTGTAGGGAAAGCCTATACATTCATGCATACTCTAGATCAGAAAATGACAGGACAACCAAGAATAGCATTACATTTCCAAATACTCTCCCTCCTCCACTCACCAGTGTCCGCCCCCACGATAAAGACCGTGTTTCACAGTAACAAGCGTTACATTGCTAATCTCCCAATCGACCTACTCCATTTGATACGTATGTGAGCTGCCAGCTGATTGGGTAGTCTAGTCACGGAGCCAGGTCAACGAGGACCAAAATGTCAACACGATTCCTTTTCGTTAACGCGTTCTATTTTAAGTTTTAAGGACGATTGTTTGTGCTGACATGCCCATATATCTATATAGGACACAGAGAGGTTGCCAACAGTGATGCAATAACGGTTCTTAAAGTAAACGTTGAAGAGATTGTGATTGCACGAGAACGCAACATCAACCTTTGAGCCCTACTCAAACAACTTTACACGTTGTAGGTCAGTGGGTGGAGTTTCACAATATGTTTTAAATTTGCAGAAGACCAGAGTCACATGAAACGTTGATACAGAACAACGGTACAGATATATAGTTTTTAACTGCCTACCTGTTGATTCCTACAGACAACAGATGGGTGGTTTTAACTAGACCCTCCTCGATGTTGCAACACACCAAGGCAAGGGACCGTTTAAGTAGGTTGCGTTTCTGCGATCAGATTTAGATTCATGAACAATGTTCTCCTCAGGGATGATTCAGTCGTGAGTTTTCTAATCGCGGTACATGAGCCACATATACTGTGCCATAATAAATAAACTAGACTAAGGCCTAGTCTCTGAATATATATAATTTTGATAGTAACAAACAAGCCCATTTAAATTGAAAAGAAGCCCCAGGGAGACCAGAGATTCAGAACCTGAGGAAATCTAGACTTGCTTTATTTAGGGCTTTAGCACTGCAGAGAGGGCTTGGCAGTAGGGAAATTAATGTGGTTCAGGGACTGTGAGACAGACTATAAATATAAACGTACAATCAAAATTACGGTTACTTGAATTTCTATTCACAGAGTCTAGTTAAATCAATGCCTTGAAAAGTAAACAATTACGTTAAAACAATTATTTAGTGCCAGTCAGTAATATTGTAGTGATATACACATCAATTTTCTTTAGACAGAATCACATCCCTACAGAACGTCTACCTACAGTGTGACCTGTGAAGATCCGGGTTAGAATTGGTCTTCAGTAACCCATGCTTGTCGTAAGAGGCGACTAACGGGATCGGGTGGTCAGGCTCGCTGACTTGGTTGACACATGTCATCGAATCCCAGTGACGTAGATCGATGCTCATGCTGTTGATCACTGGATTATCTGGTCCAGACTCGGTTATTAGTAAACCGCCGCCATATAGCTGGAATATTGCTGAGTGCGACGTAAAACTAAACCCATTCACTCACTTACATTCTTTACATTGCATTCAGAGGTTACATGTCAAGAGCTATCTGGATTAACACACACACACACACACACACACACACACACACACACTCACAAATATAATATCCTATCAAGGACATTCAAAAGGGGTAACCATCCATAGAAGGGAAATAAAGAAGTGGTAAATGTGCTGTTAATGAGGTACATAAAGTGTAATTATCCCCTTTAGGACATACTTAAGGTTAATTAGCATCGCGAGGATACGCACATGAGGTAAATAGCCTCTCAAGGACATACATAAGGGTAAATACCCTCTCAAGGACATACATATGGGTAAATACCCTCTCAAGGACATACATAAAGGTAAATAGCCTCTCAAGGACATACATAAAGGTAAATACCTTCTCAATGACATACATAAGGGTAAATACCTTCTCAAGGACATACATAAAGGTAAATAGCCTCTCAGGGACATACATAAAGGTAAATAGCCTCTCAGGGACATACATAAAGGTAAATACTCTCTCAAGGACATACATAAAGGTAAATAGCCTCTCATGGACATACATGAAGATAAATAGCCTGTCAGGGACATACATAAAGGTAAATAGCCTCTCAAGGACATACATCAAGGTAAATAGCCTCTCAAGGACATACATAAGGGTAAATACCTTCTCAAGGACATACATAAGGGTAAATACCTCCTCAAGGACATACATAAAGGTACATAGCCTCTCAGGGACATACATAAAGGTAAATAGCCTCTCATGGACATACATAAAGATAAATAGCCTGTCAGGGACATACATAAAGGTAAATAGCCTCTCAAGGACATACATCAAGGTAAATAGCCTCTCAAGGACATACATAAGGGTAAATACCTTCTCAAGGACATACATAAGGGTAAATACCTCCTCAAGGACATACATAAAGGTACATAGCCTCTCAAGGACATACATAAGGGTAAATAGCACCTCAAGGACTTACATAAAGGTAAATAGCCTCTCAAGGACATACATAAGGGTAAATAGCACCTCAAGGACTTACATAAAGGTAAATAGCCTCTCAAGGACATACACAAAGGTAAATAGCCTCTCAAGGACATATATAAAGGTAGATAGCCTCTCAGGGACAAACATAAAGGTAAATAGCCTTAATGTATGTCCTTATGTATGTCATTGAGAAGGTATTTACCCTGATGTATGTCCTTGAGAGGCTATTTTTAGCTTATGTATGTCCTTGAGAGGCTATTTACCTTATGTAAATAGCCTCTCAGGGACATACATAAAGGTAAATAGCCTCTCAAGGACATACATAAAGGTAAATAGCCTCTCAAGGACATACATAAGGGTAAATACCTTCTCAGGGACATACATAAGGGTAAATACCCTCTCAAGGACACACATAAAGGTAAATAGCCTCTCAGGGACATACATAAAGGTAAATAGCCTCTCAAGGGCATACAGAAGGGTAAATAGCCTCTCAAGAACTTACATAAAGGTAAATAGCCTCTCAGGGACATACATACAGGTAAATACCCTCTCAAGGACATACATCAAGGTAAATAGCCTCTCAGGGACATACATAAAGGTAAATAGCCTCTCAAGGGCATACATAAGGGTAAATAGCCTCTCAAGAACTTACATAAATGTAAATAGCCTCTCAGGGACATACATACAGGTAAATACCCTCTCAAGGACATACATCAAGGTAAATAGCCTCTCAGGGACATACATAAAGGTAGATACCTTCTCAAGGACATACATAAGGGTAAATAGCCACTCAAGGACATACATAAAGGTAAATAGCCTCTCAAGGACATACATAAAGGTAAATAGCCTCTCAAGGACATATATAAAGGTAAATAGCCTCTCAGGGACATACATAAAGGTAAATAGCCTCTCAAGGACATACATAAGGGTAAATAGCCTCTCAAGGACATACATAAGGGATAAACATCATACACGCACAGTTGTGTAGCCTGAAAACGGTAACACCTCGAATAACATTGAATCACGTATGATCTACGGAAATTACCGATGTTTTGCGAATGCAAATCGATAGAGGGGAGATGACTAAATTTGTTTTTCTTGTCTTGTCGTCTGGTACTCCATACTATGATCCGATACCAATGCTTCTAACAGTTCAAAATTACCATTGAGGTGTTCGGTAAGATAAATACGTTGTTCACTGGTCACTCGGGGACCATGGGTTGATCTACCCTCGATGTTCTTTTTATGTTCCCCTCGCCCTTATTGTCAGTCAACAGACTGGGCAGTAATTAACCTGAAGTGCCGACAGTACAACTTGGTACTTGGGATGCAAACGTGACATTTCGCAATCGACATCGGCATATTTGACATGTCTTTTCCTAAACCTCATCAATCACATTTGTGTCAACAGAGACACGATAGGTCTGTCTAACTGAGTTCATTTTCATAGGTTAGGGGCTGTTTGCCTCACGTTTGAGACTGCTCGGGCCTGTTCCAGAGAATATTCTAATTATCATTTTCAATGAACCCATTGTCATATTTTGGGTTGTACTAAGGATGGAGTTCTGAGGCAAAACAAGTGAGTGAGTGGGTTTACTTTTACGCCGCTTTTAACAATATTCCAGCAATATCACGGCGGGGGACACCAGAAATGGACTTAACACATTGTGCCCATGTGGGGAATCGAACCCGGGTTTTCGGCGTGACGAGCGAACGCCTTAACCACTAGGCTACCCCACCGCCCCCCAAACAAGAGACTGAGCACATACTATGTGTTGGATGTTAAAAGTATAGATTTGGCATTATTGGTATGTAACTGACAATATAATAGTGTGGGAATAGAATAGTCCCTTACAGGATCAGTAAGTGAGTGAGTGAGTTTAGTTTTACGCCGCACTCAGCAATATTCCAGCTATATGGCGGCGGTCTGTAAATAATCGAATCTGGACCAGACAATCCAGTGATCAACAGCATGAGCATCGATGAGACACAAGAGTGTAACATGTAATCGTTTGTTTGTTTGTTTGTTTAACGCTGCATTTAGCAATGCTCCAGCTTGATGACGGCGGTCTGTAAATGTTCGGATCCAGACAATCTGCAGTCATGAACATCGATCTACGCAACTGGGACACGATGTCATGCATCAACCATTTCTACGAGAATACCACCCGTTCCCCTTTCCAAGCCGGACCTTCACGGGTAATAACCTGTAACAAAACATAAGGTTGTTCAGCCATCAATATAATAATAAGATATGATGGAAAGATCTTACAAAACCTAGAAGTATGTGTTTAAATGTAACTTCCACGACACGGTCGACGCGCTGCAACTATCCCAAGCGGCGCGTGGTCCTGTGCTCAAAGCTCAGGTCACAAATCGGTGAAGTTAAGCAGCGTCGAGCTCGGAGAGTCCTTGGATGGGTGACCGTGTTTGACAGCTTGACTCCTGAGAGTTTCTAGGACTTCAGTCCTGCCCCTCAACGAAGCACAAGTGACACATGTGGTCTCACCTTAGGCAAGTGAGTTTGTTCAAAATTGTCTCTGTTCACCCAGCAGGAAAATGGGTACCCCGTTGAAAAAGTCATATGACTATAACCTTCTAGTGCCTAACAGGCAGCTTGGGTTATCCGGGGTAATAATGTGCTGTGCCTTGATTGTTAGCGCTATGAGCATACATAGTGTGGAGTTTGGCGCTATATAAATTATTATTATTATTAAGCCAATAGTATTTCGAACCTTTTCGCGCTACGATAGCCCTATGGAACTTGCATGTTGGACCAGGATAATCCCCTAAATACATGATGATATTCGTTGATTGAGTTTAGTTTAGTTTTGTGCCGCTTGTAGCAATATTATAGCAATATCACGAGGGACACCAGAAATAAGCTTCACATATCGATGTGACGGGCGAATGCTTTAACCACTAGTCTACACCACCGACCCTACGTGATGATAATACTTTTTAGGAACATCTACTATTGTCCTAATCTTGAACTATTTATTTCATCCACATATAACATGGATCATTTGGAAAAAAACACCAGTTAGTATCTACACCAGTTGCAAGTTGTAAAAATGTTATTTGTTCTTATACGCTAGTACTGACGGATATCTCATATTGTCAGATATTGTACCTGACAGTAATATCGTAGTACTTCATAACGATTGGTACACTTACAGAGGCCTATAACTCGTAAATTCTGCTGAACTGACAAACCTGTGACTATTGCAAATATTACATTAACACAATATTTCATAGATAAGTGTTCCTGTAAATCACGGTCACCCATCCAAGGACTCTCCGTAACCTCAACTGATTTGTGACCTGTGCGCTATGCACAAGGTGACCACCACCACATGGCCTTCTGCAAACCATGCCTATCGTTAGTAACGGGACCGGTTGGCCAGATTTGCTGACATAGTTGATGCATGTCACCATGTCCCATGATCGATTCTCATGATGTCAGTCACTGGGACCCGTGGAGGCCCGGGTTAGAATGAACCTTCAGTAACCCATGCTTGTCGTAAGAGGCGACTGACGGGATTGGTCGGATAGGCTCGCTGGCTTGGTTGACACATGTCATCGGTTCCCAATTGCGCAGATCGATACTCATGCTGTTGATCACTGGATCGTCTGGTCCAGAATCGATTATTTACAGACCGCCGCCATATAGCTGGAATATTGCTGAGTGCGGCGTAAAACTAAACTCACTCACTCAATCTCTGGGTTGGTCCAGTCAAATCTCAATGATTTACTACATTAGCAGCCTGTACATAAACCAGGCAAACCAATGATACTGTGAGCAACGATCCACGCCGAACAAAACGAAGACACCCAATCAACCAAATCTCACCGAGACTGACCACCCGATCCACACAGGATACTTAGCACAATTCCAGCCAGGTACTGGCTAAGCGGAATCAACATGTAAGCTCAGCCTTGGTGTACTGTCTGTAGGTCACGGCTCATGACATAACCAATTGCAAGTTTATCCTCAACGTTTCATGATACAATGGGATAATCATGAATGGTTCCTACAACAGTCATCGGCGTAAATAAGTTTCTATAAATTAATCCACTCATACACGTAGCCTATGTGATACATATCACTGACACACCATTGCTCCTCATAATGTGGTTATATAAGGCGTAATACGATTATGGTCTTTACGAAATGTTTGAACCTGGGATATATGTGCTTGTATATCCCGGCTCTGCGTGACGGTAAGTTTGTTATGAGCTCATGTGTCTGTTGGGCTAGTAACAGTGAAAGCGTTTTGATTGGTCTGATCATTCATCAAACATTAACGGTGATTCTGTTTGCCGAAATCTCAAACATCGAAACAGGTCTTGATGGGAGGCAAACAACATCCCAGAGAAATGCCATGATATAACAAAACTATTTCAAGTGGTCCTCTTTCGTATATAACAATAGTTCCTGAAGCAATCTCCATCGGAAATGCGTAATGAAGTAAAGGACAAAATTGTGCTTTGAAGAGGTGGTATGCAGGGTTGTGGTATTCCTCCGATCTTATTACCACTATTTCACAATGGAAGTTTCGTCTTCACGCGGTCCATTCAACAGGGCGTTCAGGGAGTTGAACAACAGGAACAACCTTGCCGGCCTGAAGTTGAGGAAGCAGCTGGTGAGCTTTGATCGAGAGAAGAAGTTTCTTCTTGAACATCTCGACAAGGACAAGATCGACGCATATGGATTCTTGAAACAGTTGCAGCTGTGTGAATCCAACCAAGTCCCAGCGTATACAGAGTAAGACGAGGAATTCTATGAGTAACGCTACAGTCTATTATGGATATGATGATGTTCGACAGATACATAACAAACAGTAATGACAGAAGTTTTAATCACTGAGCACTTGTAATAACCTTGTTAATAGGGATTAATCAGACATATATGTAGTGACACATATTAAATGTAATGCTATATGTTATGATTGTAGTACGGGGTTAGCGAGTTTGGTTTAATTGGTTTTGGGTTTGTTGTATTTTATTTTGCTTCTTTTTGATTTTTTAAAAAAGAAGACAAAGACTATGGAAATAATTGAAAGATAAATATTTGATGATTAATTATAATCTGTTGAACAGTTGCTTGCTTAAAAAGACAGACCACTGCTGTGATTAAGAAAGAAGATTTATTCCGTTAAACATAACCGTTTATTAAACTGCTGACAGCTTTTAGCATTTTTTTTTATGCAGCAAAATCACAACGGTTTGCACAACTGGAAGTATTCAGAATGATTTTCAATTTAATTGGCGTTCATAGCGTCGTTAAAATTTAAAAGTGTCCATTTTGGGGCTCTTTTTTTTAGAAAACAATAATTCATTCATACTTTCTGATCAATATATAATCGAAATTATTTTCACCTTAATCTTTAAATTTTGCTTTCAGTGGATCGATCCCAAAATATTTGGAGTGTGGTAAACTTACTGATTAAAGCAATTTTCATGGCTTGAAAAACGTCTTTGCATTGGCACAATATACTATTGCTTAAGGGTTGTCATGGCATCGTTTGTTATAAGAATAAAAAGTCTACATGTAGGATTGTGCAGAATGTCACGCACATACATTTGGTTTGAAAATGTGATCATGATTTCGCCACGTTATTGACAGCGACGGGAAATCCCCATTATGTCATGGGAAACATCCTGCTTTTTCAATCTGCAAAACGAGTTCTGTAAGATTTACGACAGGTATCGTACCTTTGTACGATCTGCGACAGGTTTACGACTGTTTCGAAAATGTGTCTTATCTCAAACTTAAAGTATCTTATCTTTGAACGTAAGTTCTTAAGCTTAATCAATGCTAATATCGTTTCGAGGCCCAGGATTCTCACACCCACTTTTAGATTTTCCTGGTACTCCTGTATGATTCAAGGCTACACAGGTGCTTTAGATGAGACTGTGCCACTCATGCTGTATAACAATACAAACTTTACAAACGTAACTATTTCGTTTTTACAGCCTTATTGAAGGTATGGTCAAAGGCCCCTGTGTGTTTAGACGACGACTGCGAAAGGCTCACACAGCCCCATCTACACACAGCAGCTCCGGGGACGAACAAGCAGAAAACTGCAATGGGAAGAAACCTTTCGTGCCCAAGTTTACGAAGGCTCAAATAAAGCTTCTGCAGGCCCGTAAACCCACGTTGTCCAACCACGAAAGAGCCGAGATGTTCCTGAAGAGACTTCGTGATAAACACATAGAAGATTTGGAAGAGGAGACGGATAATAATGACCTAGAACACTCTTTCAGCAGAAAGATCTCCCGATTATTGTCTGTAGCCACGGACGACTGTGATCCACACCTAGTTGCTGAAAGATGGGCGCGACCACGAGGAAGTGGCTTCCATTCGATTGAACGCCTTGGTAATATTTCAAGTCGACATCGTCCAAGTGAACTCTTCGAAGGCCCCGCACCAAGTATATCCCAAACAATCCCCGAATTAGTTCCAATCAAACCCAAAGACTTCCGTCGTTCTGTAGCGTCTCCTGTAGAAGAAGAACTAATCTGTCCACCACTCCGGCCAATCGGAAAACCCCCAATTGAAATAAGGCTTCGTACGTTTTATGAAAAGCTGGATATTCTCAAAAAGAAACAGGACGAGCGAATGGCTGAGGTCCCAATATGGGAAAAGAGAAGGAGGTGGATATTGCTAACTAAAGGTCTTGGGGCAGCTTTAGCGGAATCCGACTCCTATTCAGAAGTAGAGATGGACAGGTTTTAGCATATGTTTCATTGTGCATTTCAGCTGTTTGGGGATTTAACTGCCCTTATTTTTCGAGGAAGTGTCCATTAGCGCATTATAATTTCACATTATCTATGTTGTAAGATACTTCATATATGTTTTTGCCAGAGTATGAACATGGCCAATCGAATTATGGAACCTGTACTTTAATTTTCGTTTCTTTATTACGTATAGAGATATCAGTCTTTGGGTGCTTTCTTAAGGTTAACAGATTTCCATCAATTCAAACAGATCATATTGCCCCTGTTCTAAGAGTTAAAATAATTTGCTTCACCATCTGGACGAGTTACTGATATGAGCTTGCAAAAACCTATCATTCTAACCTTTCGTTTCGTTTCGGACTTTCTGATTTCGAAGAATGCCAAGCAGAGTTCCAACTGTCAGTCATGATTCAAACAAGGTTAAATTGCTTTGCGTTGCCAAAAAACAGCCCCTTTAAAACATTATTTTCATTTTCGATACGTTTCTGAAATAAATCATAAGAGGCTGTTGATGGTAGCAGAAAGGCAACATTAGTGTGTGGATGGGGCTATAGGGATACCTATATCTTTCCATGCATGTTTGCATTTGTTTTATGTTGTAAAATAGTTTGTTTTCCTAACCGAAATTAAAATATTTCAATCTCGGACAAATCTTTGTTTCTTTGACACTTGAGAAAGTACGTTATCCAGCTTTGACCTACACACTGCTGAGTCCAATCTGCTTATTGTTACACCAAGTCAAACCAACCACCACAAATCGCATTGCTGTTCTTAATCGCCAAATCCTTATCCGCAATACGACTACGGTACCTTCGGGATTAATAACAATGGTAGGAAATCAGGCATGGCTGATACGTCTTAGTCAGCAATGTAGTAATAAGTTACCTTGGTCACCATGTTGGTAAGAAATATCTGATAAAAGCACAGTGCACTGTACAAGTTCGTTTATATCATCTTTATGAATCAGTATTGATCTGTGATAATATCAAGTGTTGGCAGAAGGTGAACATATCCTGCCAAATCATAGACAACACTTACAAACAAATGCTAGAAAACTGTTCAATATATTGAAAAAAATGAATGGAGACATTTTACTTGTCAAAATGGGAATTGTATGGACCATTATTTACATAATTGTCACTGATGCATCAAATGTGGCAGTGTCTACAATAACCGTTTTGAAAGCCTCATCGGGGCCTTGTGTGAGTTGAGTTTTACGCCGCACTCAGCAATATTCCAGCTATATGGCGGCGGTCTGTAAATAATCGAGTCCGGACCACACAATCCAGTGATCAACAGCATAAGCATCTATCTGTGCAATTGGGAACCGATGACATGTGTCAACCAAGTCAGCAAGCCTGACCACCCAATCCCGTTAGTCGCCTCTTACGACAAGCATGGGGTTACTGAAGGCCAATATTCTAACCCGGACCTTCACGGGTTCACCGGGGCCTTGAATCTTATAACCTTGATCAAACAACTTCTAAGCAATCGTCATGTGAAAGGGGGCGGTGGGGTAGCCTAATGGTTAAAGCGTTGGCTCGTCACGCCGAAGACCCGGGTTCGAATCCCCACATGGGCACAATGTGTGAAGCCCATTTCTGGTGTCCCCCGCCGTGATGTTGCTGGAATATTGCTAAAAGCGGCGTAAAACCAAACTCAGTCAGTCAGTGTGAAAGATATTCTTTGAAATCTTGGAAGAAAGAGCATGTACGACCCTACCTCAAAAGTTGTGAAATGTAAACACCAAAGGCCGGAGATGCCGGGGATGTATACATGACTAATATTTGTTTAACGTTGCATTGGAGCAATTTCTCAGCCTACGACGTAGTCTGTACACAAGTCTGGACCTGAGAACCCAGTGGTTGACATTATAAACATCGACACAACATCAATGAAAGAAGTTAACGAGCCTCATCATGTTCCTGTCGTCTCACACAACCCATATCCGGTGTCCCTCGCCGTGATATTGCTGGAATACTGCTAGATGCGGCGTAAAACCATACTCACTCGCACAACCATGCACCATTGACGCCCATACCATGCAGATGATTTCATTATTTATTGTGTCGTTTAATATACACAAGAACATAATGATGCACCCCCCTGTATTTTTGTAATGATAGGTTTTTTAACACGTACATATGGTGACCACGATAGAAAAACTTGAGTTTTTCTGACCCGTATGATCCTTTGGCTCATAGAAAAACGACAAAATGATTGGAATCCATGTTGATTTTATGATGATAATTGCTCATTTAAAAAACCTCTGATTTTCATATAAAACCATGTCTGTACAAGTATAGCCCTAGAATGTTTATGTTGAATTTATTGGTGAATGTGAACATTCAAAATGTCTCGATTCAAGTTCAATACTGAGTGTAACCTCTATGTGACTGTATGACAGCCAGCACTCTCCTCATACCCCGCCAGCCTCCTGATCCTCTGAAGGGGCAGTCTACGCCATTCCTCGTGTAAAGCAGCTTCCAATTGGGCCATGTTCTGTACAGGAAGATTTCTTTGTTGCACACCACGACCAATCATGTCCTAGATATGTTCCAATATGATCCAAAGATCGGGGCTCATTCAATCGTGAGATATGTCAGGGGGTGCATAACTAAGTTCTTTGTGTATAAATTCAGAATCATTATTAAGGGGTCACTTAGATACCTGGGTATCAATCAATCAATCATGAGTGAGTGAGTATGGTTTTACGCCGCTTTTAAGCAATATTCCAGCAATATCACGGCGGGGGACACCAGAAATGGGCTTCACACATTGTACCCATGTGGGGAATCGAACCCGGGTCTTCGGCGTGACGAACGAACGCTTTAACCACTAGGCTACCCCACCGCCCCTTTATCAATCATGAAAACATACGCCAACAAACATCTGTCGGTCTGAACATGTTGACAGTGCTGCAGAAGAACACCTTGTTTATGCCTATGTCACTCTGCTTTCATGATTTTCTTCTAATAACGCAAGTGCATGGTTGAAGGCTACACTCGAAATCACACTGAACACAACTAACAGTTAAGCGCTCATGTAAATGCAAAAAGATGACAGTAACAGCTGACAAATGATTATACTCCGTTTGACTTCATTTGAGACCGATGAATTGCTCACTAACAGGCCCAATCTACAGGAATGTTGAGCAATTGAACAGAGCAATTGTTTCAATCGAACAAACGTTTTGTTCAGTCAAGCATAGTGCATCTCTTTGGGGATCGAAACCATGGACACTATCACTACCATGGCTTCAAGATTGACATCACCACACTTCATCTTTCACACAGATCACAACTTCTTTCACATGTCAGCGTGACTTGTATGGATGGCCATCTTATACCTTGTACAATTGAAGCAAAATACAGCCATGTTCAGATAATCAGAGGGGGTGGGGTGGGGGGGGTGGGGTTGCATAATGGTTAAAACGTCCGCTCGTCACGCTAAGACCCGTGTTCGATTCCCCATATGGGTCCAATGTGTGAGGCTCATTTCTGATGTCGCATGCTGTGATATTGGAATATTGCTAAAAGCGGCATAACACCATATTCACTCACTCACAGTGACACAGAGACACTCTGATAATCTATTCTCACAGTATGAAAATGTAATACACTGGATAACTGAAGATGAGGTCCCATTGACTGGATATCATTGAATGATATCCATTAACATGGAGTAAAAAATCAATATCTGAACATTAAACCAACAGTTTATTGGCAACATAGTAAATATATGTAAACAACTCAAAATAAACATTAACCACTTGCAGAGATGTTTTTTTAAACATGATTTCATTTAACATCAAAATAAATACATAAAAAATAGAATACATAGGTCCCTATATTCTAATTCAAAAACATTTGATTTGTACAAATATATTCCATAATGATAAATAATTACTGCCTACTTAAACATATGTAATCAAAGACTTGGCTTGATAGGATCTATGCAGAAGAAAGAATAAACATAAGAATGACTATCTTCAAAAACATTACAAGTTATTTCAGTCATAAGATGTTGGGAGAGCCAGACATACAAGGTGATAAAATTCCCTGTTGAGACATGCCTGCTGCCAATTCTCATGACAAGCATAAGTTGTTGAAAAACAATTCAACTCATGTTCAGGAGTTGTTGGTTAGTGGGCAAGTCAGTCTGGTTTCATGCAATTTCACAGCAAGCTATACCAGAAATGGGCAGTGCCAGTGGGGGAATCAAACCCATGTCTTTGTAATGAGGTGAGGTGAAATTGGGTTTTACGTCGTGCTTGAGAATAGTTTGCTCATATGACAACGTGCATGCGTGTGTATGTGTATGTGCGGCTGCTTGTACTAGCCCAGACTGAAGCTGGTTTTATAGTGCTAGCCCACTGAGATACCATGCCGCAGTGAAGCATGAATACCCCACTCAGACACAGTATACTGACTCCGAGCCGACCAGTCCTTGTTGTACCCATTAATGCCGAGCGTCAGGCAGGGACCAACAAGTACCATATTTTAACGTCTTTTGGTATGACGCGGTCGGGGGATGGAACCCGCGACCTTCCGCTCTCCAGGCGGACCCTCTAACCACTACACCACGAAGGCGGTCCTTTGTTATGAACAAACACTTTAACCAAAAGGCTAACCCACTACCCTCTTGTACTGTAAGCAGCATACATGTCTATGTATATTACCCATCAAAAGTTTAGACTTTTCACTAGAGTAAATGTAGCCACTATTTTCAGTCTAACTGTTCTAAACAAGATTTTGCACAAACAATTCCATACTGTTTATAGGTAGTTTACACATGAACAGATGTATTGTAAACAAATTCGAAACATTGAAAAGATTGTCATGAGTTCAATAAATGATGAAACTTTACACCAAAAGGCAGCTGTTCGCATGCACAATATTAGCACATGCTTTTCAACAATTTAATGCATGATCCTCATGCAACTCCTCTGCGTAAGGAATGCAGTTGGTTCCCCCATGATAGTGGAGAAATTCATCTTCGATGTAATCATATATATATTCATAACATGTAGTGAGTGCTTAAAGGGAGTCGAAACTTTTGATTAATAGTATATGTGCAGGGTGATTCTATAAAGATGGTTAAAGTCCTGCATCATATCAAATCATAATCCTGTCAATAGGCCCCTGACATCTAAATAACTCACAGGTGACGTTCCTCAACACAATCTGGTCACCATGCCTGGATTTACAATTAACCATACCATGTACTCAGGGATATTAAAGATTAACATATTCACCTGATAAAATGGCTGCTGAGGGTGAAGTATTATTGCCAAAGGTGATGGAATCAAAGCAAGGATTTGCCATGAAAGCTATTTTGAACTTTTCAAGATACATGGCCACTTACAAAGCCAGTTTGTAACAAGCATTGTCACTAAGGTGACATAATCCCCGCTGCAAATTATCAAATCTAACTTATAAAGTAATGAAAGTTTAAGATGAAGTTAAATGTCAACAAAAAAATGACCAGTCAACCTCTCTTGATATCTTGCTCTTTAGTTGTTCAAACATACACATATTTTCAAGACTGACCTTGACATGAATGTCATAGTGTATGAAATATGCAAAACTAGTACTAAAGAAAGTGCTTATTGAAAAACATTCAAGGAATGTACTGAAAGTCTATGAAGAAAAAACCAGTGAACCGTTCTTAAAATATCTTGCTGACAATTCAAGTTAACATGCTGAAATATTCAAAGTGTCTCTGTGACCTTGAAAATTAAGTGAAGGTCACCAAACTCGACTGGGCCCTGCGCCTTCCATAGATGAAGCTTGGTGTGAAATATGAAGAAAATCCAGTTAATGGTTCTTGAGATTGCTTAACATGCAGCTTTACATGCTGAAATCTTCAAAGTGTCGCCATGACCTTAAAAATTTATGTGAAGGTCACCAAAATCAACTGGGCCCTGCGCCTTCCCTAGATAAAGCTTGGTATTGAATATGAAGAAAATCCAGTGAACGGTTCTTGAGATAGCTTAACATGCAGGTAAAACGTTAACGTCCCCTTGTGACCTTGCAATGAGGGTCAAGGTCACCAAACCTGACTTGGACTTTTATTACACTGATGAACCTAGGTACCAAATATGAAAAGAATCTAGTGAACGGTTCTTAAGATATTCCAATTCGGACGTACATACGGACAGACGGAGCCTAATACTATATAACGCGCGGCAGGGGCTAACTAGTTACTTAACAAGTGTATCATTAGTTTTACTGAAGAACTTTAACTCAGCAGATTCAAACATGATGCTTAACAATGTTGTCAAAAGTAGCATATGCTCTTAAGGTCGACTTCAGTACCAACTTATGGTATTTCATGAATTACAGAGTAAGTGAGTATGGTTTTACGCCGCTTCTAGCAATATTCCAGCAACATCGCCGCTCACGAATTACTGGATGTCACGGAAATAGAATTAAGCCCAACCACACATCTTACATTTGAAATCAGTTTGATCACCTCAAGCCATGTTTTAATAGTTCAGCCACTTTTGTCATGTTTAAACAAAACAATATATTCGGTAACATCGTGAATGTGAAAAAATCATATTGTAATTTTTCAGACAATCAAAAATGGTGCATTGAATAAGTGGGAAGTGAACCAAGAACCTTAGCAAGATGAGTGAACACCTAAACCACTCAGCTCGCTACCTTGTGAAAAGGCAGCTGTGTAGCTTTCTAATCCTTCACAGTGTCAACATGCTTCAAACACATCCTCCTCACACTGCATTTCAGCATCATGCAGGTTACTAGACAATTCTTATAAACATGGGCCAACATTCCTGGCTTTAAGGGCAGCCATGTCCAACCCTTAATCACTTGGGGTTATGTGTCCTTTAACCTTCATATGATGTCTCAATGATTTTTTACTCAGGTACATTTTACTGCAAACAGAACATTGGAACCTATTATTATTAGAGCATTTTTCTTGGTCTCTCTCAAACACCATGAAATCCTCAAGTGCCCTACCATGAACCGCATCCTGTTGGGTCTTCCTGCAGTGTTGTATGTGCTGTATAAAGCTTGTATGAAGATCAAATCCTCTTCCACAAAAGGAGCAAGTATTTAACTTTTTATCTTCATGTGTGTGTTGTTGCATGTGGGAGTCCAATTCCGTGAGAGTAGGAAATCCAACAAAACACACGGCACAAGTATGCCTGTACTTGTCACCATGCACCTTCATGTGAGCCATCAGACTGTCTGGTCTGGAGTACACATGATCACATTCCTTGCATCCAAATGTCTTCACGTACTTATGCAGCTCCTCCACCCTTCTTTGGTGTGTCCTGGAATGGTTGCTTAGGCTCTTCAGTGACGAAAACTCCTTTTCACACACCTCGCACGTAAACAAACTTTGGTCTTCTTTTTCAACAAAGTTTTCGTGAGCTTTCTGAATCTTCAAACTGTTTGGTGAAGAAAACGACTTTTCACAAACTTTCACTTTATGATGACACTTTCCAGCGTGTCTCTTCACAGACCAGTCTGTGGAGAATGTCTGCTTGCACACAGGACATGTTGATCGTCTGCCAAGATGAATATTCATATGAATACGAAGAGTCTGTTTCGCAACAAATAGTTTTGAGCATATTTCACACCTGTAATTCTTCTGTTGGCCCTTAACATCAACATCATGGCGATCGATTGCATGGTCAGGTGCATCACCATCACATGACAAATGAAGATTGTCCTCACAATGGCCTTCATCCCCTCTGCCTTCAACACCATTGTTCAGATGCATATCTAAATGTGCACTGAGATGTTCCAACTCTTCAAAACTTTCACCACAAAAATGGCATTGCTGTTTGTGGGAGATCAAGTGTTTCTGTAGATCTCCAGCAACTTGAAACATCTCTCCACAAACGCTGCATCTTTGGTCTGACCCTCTACCACTGAGGGACCTTTTTCTAATACTTTCACCTGATCGTGTCCTTCCTTGAGAATGCTGCTCAACGGGAAGACTGTGCTGATAATTCAAATGGTCAGACTGTTTCCTGCTGCTGTAAATGTAATCATTCTGTTTTTCCTCAAACAATAATGATGAATTAGAAATTTGACTTTTGTTGTTAGTGTCAATGACTTCATTTGTGTTACCAGAGTATTGTTCTATGTTCATAGCCAAAGGTTCTCCTGTGTCACCATCCTCAATCACTTGTGGTTTATAAATACTGTAACCTTGGCTGGTTTGGTTCTTTTTTAACATAAATGATAAATTATCAGAGTTGCAGTCTCCATTCTTACACATTCTTAGTCCTGACTTTCCATGCACATAAGAATACTGATTTCTGTTTTCCACAAATTGTTTAGGAACAGACCTTGTGTTGTAATTCATATCAGTTTCAAAATTACTTTGGGGCATTAGCTTTGCACCAGAACATGCATTAACACCAATGGTTAAACTCTGGCCTGAGCTAGTATGTGTGTCATTTATTTCTGAGTATGGTTTAATGTCCTCTGTACTTGGGGTAATATCTGATATCCTCTTGAACCCCCTAGTATGTTTATTCTCCAAGGACTTCTGATCAAAAGGAAGTATTCTACTCCCACAGATAGTACCAGGAGGCACCTCTCCTGAACGTTCTTGCCTCTTTGCAGTACGGTTAAAGCCTCTCACTCCAAGACAATCTCCCATGACAGGACCAGGATGCCTCTGTGCACTGTCTGACCTCCTCACAGTCACCATTTGACTGCTACTTAGAGTTTGATCTGTCTGAAGGGTATCATCCCAGAGAGACCCACCTCTTCCCATACCACCCATACTGTTCATGCTACCTTCAACACTATTGTATTTTCTTTTGTCAAGTCCTGTATTCAAATAAACTTTCATCCCATCCTGAGAATTGGTATTTAACATCTGTCCCATTCTGGTGTTTTCACCTCTATTTGACTGATAGAACTTAAATTCACATATGTCGTTTACTGGTGTGTCAGGACTATCTTCATTTTCATCAGAAATATAGTCATAACCATCATATGTCTTGGATCTCATGCCAGTACTTGATTCATTCTTATTTTCAACTGAACAACTATTTTCAGGACTCGTATCTTTCACATCAAAGGCTGTGGCTTCGTAGTGACGTTCAAGTCTGGACTCAAATTTACAAGGACTCTCATTATCCTCATGTTCTAGATCAGATAATTTAGACTCTGCATCCTGAGAATCCTCATCTGTGCCTGAGGACAGAACTCCAGAAGTTTCTGGCACCTCAACTTCAGATCCACTCAGGTCCTCACAGTTCTGATCAGTCTGTCCTAAGTGGACCGAGTCCTGATCCCCGTCTCTAAATAAACATGCCCTATAGTCACCCATACCTGCAATGTCATCCGTTTCATGTTCTCCTCCTGACGGATTGTATACACATTCACAATTAACCTGGTGCAAGTGAGAATTACAACCAAGAGATTCTCCACAATCTCCAGCAATATCTAGTCTATCCCTTTGATGAGATACAGAAGCATGCTTATAAGCTTCAGTTCCATTTTTTTCATCATACAGCACATCATCTGCTGAAGGGCTCCACTTATCAAAGGAACATCCAGGTGAAGCATCAGCATGGGCATATTCACTCTGATCAGGGGCATCTCCATCACACCTCTCTAAGAAGTTCAGGACCGACTTAGTCCCTGCTGTCTTTGTGAAGGAATGAGTCGTCAGATGATGGACTTGGGACAACATATTCCCAAACCATTCTCCACACTGTCCACAGATAATCACACTCTTGAAAGAGTCTGAATCCATTGTGAATAGATTGTCAGTGATGACGAGGTTCTTACCAGCTTTGTTCCACACCTAAAAGTACACAGAAATATCCATTAACAATCAAAGTCAACACCACTGCCATAACATTGTGCCACAGCCACGGATGTTCACCTTAACAAGCAAACACACAAAATAGCAAAACTTGTTTGTATTTAACTGAAACTTGGCATCATAACCTATCACCTATAGTCTTCACAAGAACTCAAACAGCTATGAACATGTACATATTAGGCCAAACAAAAAAATCTTGTGGTTCCGATTCTACCTCTTTAAAATTTAGGGTAGGTCGGTAGGAATTGTTTTTGTACATATTTACTTTTTGACGTAAAGTACAAACTAATAACACATTTATCAATGTGTAATTGTTTATTTAATCAAGCTTGCGGCCATCATATCGACTTTCTCTATCAGCATGGCCGTCATCTGTCGGTGCCGGGAAAAACAATGGTATCTGAAAGCTTATTTAATTCATACCGCTTAAAAACATAGGGTCGGCACCAGAATTCAAGGGTTGGTTGGGTAATCAGAACCACAACATTTTTTTCTAGGCCTTATTGAATATGAATCATGATGTACAGTTTGGGCATACATCAACTATAAAATGAGAAAATTAGAAGTAAGACTTGATCTGTTTAATTGGAAAATTCAGAAATCAAAACATATTTAATTTTAAGGGTGGACAGAGCTTGCAATTACAATTCAGTATGTGTTGAAATTACCTCCAGCCTAAGAAAATACATGTCTTCTAAAACTTCATAATGGATTAGATTCTATTTGAATGTATAAAACAGATTAACTTTACAAATGACCCTTCCCAGGACTCAACCTTCCATCACTCAAACCATGTCATTTCAATGCCCAACCATTTTGATCAGATGTGATCACGTGATTGTGTGGCCCAACCTCTTATATGTAAAGATCACTGATATCATAGTTGAAATTATTAATCCTCGTTCAAGTGAGTGAGTGAGTGAGTGGGTGGGTGGGTGGGTGGGTGTGGGTGAGTGAGTGAGTGAGTGAGTGAGTGAGTGAGTTTAGTTTAATGCCGCACTCAGTAATATTCAAGCTATATGGCTGTGGTCTGTAAATGATTGAGTCTGGACCAGACAATCCGTGTAACAGCATGAGCATCGATCTATGCAACTGGGAACCGATGGCATGTGTGAAGCAAGTCAGCGAGCCTGACCACCCGATCCCGTTAGCATGGGTTACTGAAGATCAATTCTAACCCAGATCTTCACTGGTCTCGTCCAAGCAGGACTGCTGAATCAACAATTTTATTGAAATGAATACTCAGTGTATTGATAATAAACTGTTAGCAGGTCTCACTGCACATACAGATTCATTTACACCTTTAGTTACAATAAAGTGTTCACGGCTGTGTCCAGACAAGGATAACTTTAGACACAGAAGTAGTTATTTGATTCTGTGCCATGCTAGTGAACCACTGAAGTGCAAGATTTGAACCCTAATGAACATGGATAACCCTGTGAAAATATTCTGTCTGTGACAGTCCACAATAACTTGCTCAAACCACCACCACCACCACTATGAACATCAACACCACCACAAAGACCACCACGTCAACACCATCATCGCCACTGCTACTGCCACTGCAACAACCACCACACCACCAACACTGCTAACGCCAATGCCAACGCCAACACCAACCAATACCTACACCACAAATTTTAGCAATTCATGTGTAGGAAACTTTTCAAATAATTATGCTAACTGAATTAATTGCAAGACATGTCCATGAAGCATCCTATAGACATACACCTGATATTGGGCATCTGACTCTGATAGGAGGAAAGTTGAAAGCTGCTGCCAGTATTTCACAGAAATCCTGTGTCAGCACTGGAAGCCCAATACAAGTCTTGCTACAGACATGACCACCCAGTGCTGACACACTAGGAACCCAGGGATAGAAATACTTCTTTTTTTCTAAGTGTGCCTTAGGGCACCAGACAAACATTCTAGATGTGCCTTTCAGAAATCAGGCGTACCCATATGTTTTAAGAACAAATGACTGTAGCAATGATGATGATCACTTGAAATTTATCGTTAGTAAACAACAAATGTAACCTGTTTTCTGTTTTCACTGATATGTGTTCTGTTTAAGATGGCTTTCTTAAGCTTCATTTGTTCTGCTCCCCCCCCCCCCCCAACACATTTAATAGCTAAGAATTTTGTGACAGGTTCACTTGTTCAATATATGTATATCTAGCATGCACAATTTCCTGTTCAATAACCGAACTATCAGTACTCCCTTCACTCTAAAAAAAATGGAAAAACAACCACATTTCTTTACATCATCCATCATAATTCAAGTGATTTCCTGGGCGATAAAGTCAATAAATGTTTTTACTTGTTTGTCATTTGCGTAAGTGTTTTGTTTGGGGGATTAAATGACTAAAGGTGAGTTATGTCTCTAAAAAAATTAGGTGTGCCATAAGGGCACCGAGAACATTTTTATCCGTGCCATTTCAGAATTTACCATGGCACGCTAATACATGGGGTTACTTTGAACCCTGGAACCATAAATCATCATCAGGATGAAGTTCTGGCACAACTGTAACCAGTACCACTGCTTTGTTCACTTCATGAAAGCTGAAAACGTACACAACTATAACGGCTAGACTAACGCTTAGCCTCTGCATATATATACTACTCACACTTTGCTAAGGATCACAAAAATTCACAACTTTACTTAAACGTAGATTTATGATTTGAAGTTGTATCCATTCAAAACTAGATAAATAATGATATGGTAACCCCTCTTTAGGCAAACAACCACTTTAAAATAACCTTATGCACTTGATACATGAGTAACCATAAAAATGGTTTTCATGGCACCAATCAACCATTCTTCAAATCATGGAACGAGTCATTGACAAGTACACAACACCCATCAATAGCAGGTATGGGATCCACAAGATGCAATGCGAACTGAAACCTAGGATCCATGCTTGCAATAAGCTTAGGTATATAAACCAAATTAGACCCAACAATATTTTTGATAGTAACAAATAAACCCATTTAGATTGGAAAGGAGCCCCAGGGAGATGGGGGAATTCTGAACCTGAGGAAATCTAGACATACTTCATTTAGAGCTTTAGCACTACAATGAGGGCTAGGCAGAATGGAAAGTAATGTGGTTCAGGGACTGTGAGAAAGACTACTATAACAGCATACTATACTCAAACAATGAACTCGTTAACAAACAATATGATCAGAATGTCATTTCTTATCAGTTACTCAGCACCATTCCATCTATATAACTACAAAAAATCAGCATCTAAATAATCAAGTCAGGAGCAAACAGTAAAGTGACTAGCATCATAAGCATCGATCTACCTAATTGTGAGCGAGTTTAGATTTATGCCGCTTTTAGCAATATTCCAGCAATATCATGGCGGGGGGACACCAGAAATGGGCTTCACTCATTGTACCCATGTGGGGAATCAAACCAGGGCCTCCAACATGACAAGAGAAAGCTTCAACCACAAGGCTACCCTATCGCCCCCTTCCTAACTGGGATATGAGAGGCATTAACCAAGTCAGGATGTCGGATCACCTGATCACTTTGGCTACACTGATCAGCATTGGTTTCGTGGACCAATTCAAACCTGGGCCTCTTTTGAGGCCTTTGACCTCTGGACTTGACTGTAATTTGAAACAATATTAAGAATAGTGACTTCAAAATTCCCACTTCAAATCGTTTCTCTGCTTCGACATTATAGGTGTACATATTTACATCTGACTGACTGACGAGCCAACGCTTTAACCACTAGGCTACCCCACCGCCCCATTTTACATCAGAGGATTAGGTAAATAGCTGTAATACAGGGTTACAAATATTTATTATTTTCAGCTAACACAGTCAGCTACCCACTCCAGAGTATCGCCATCTATCTTAGGGTAAAGTTGTAATACACAAGGCCTTAGTAATGTGGATTATGGTTAAACCCTGTAAATCTATCTCATTTTGTCCAATCAGCAATATTCGTTACACATTTTTGTAAACTGAGTACTCTAAACAGCAGCCTGATATGAAAGGGAACTTTTCAGAGAAGTCGCAGAAGAAAAATAACTTTAAGTACTTTCTGAAACCAAGGTTAAAAAAAGCACAACATAAGAAAAACAAATCTCTCCTAGCTGACATTCAAAAGGTTTCATAAATCTATCAAATTTCTAAAATTTAAGTTTACTTTGGACAAATCATGTTTCGCATTACAAACTAAATACGTTTACATAATAGACAAAATGTCTGAACCAAAAAAGGTGTCCTGTTGAGTGAGTGAGTGAGTGAGTTTAGTTTTATGCCGCATTCAGAAATATTCCAGCTATATGGCGGTGGTCTGTAAATAATCAAGTCTGGACCACACAATCCAGTGATCAACAGCTTGAGCATCGATCTGCGCAATTGGGAACCGAGCGACATGTGGCAACCAAGTCAGTGTGTGTCCTGTTGAAGCTAATGGAGTGTTTGTTTTCAGCTCACACAGAATATTATTTCAACTGTCATCTGCTGACTAACATTACATCCTAAAAGTGAAGCTATCTTATTAAAAAAGTATATCAACAAAATACCAAAAAAATGAAGTCCAAAAATGCCCAGGGGCTGAAAGCAATTAAGACATGGCCAAATATTCTAAAGTTGGAGGCTAGTCATCTCTGTAATTTACAATATACACGCAACTCAAGCAGCAAGAATGGAGTCAGTCATCAGGATGTGACCAAACTACATGTGACCCACTAAATGTGATCCCATGAGCAGTCGGTATCTTAATAAGGCATTGGCTATCAAGTCTCGTTCTTCGACTTATTCATGTTAAGCAACTTGTTTCTAACCAATATCTAATTATTTGCAATAAAATGCCAATTCTACAATGATCTTGAGAAATTCTCAAATTTGATGGGGCAATCAATAGAATCACAATAAAATAAGAATCAGTGTGGATTGAATAGTGTGTCTGATTTTATGACTGCTTCACTGTGCAGACAACTGCATTCATTGTTGAACAACTTCATTTACTTCCAACATGGCTGATCTCACAAAACAGATATAATGGATTTTGAAACTTTTCAAATTACTATTTTTTGTCAAAATATACAGACTAGATTTACTTGAATACTGTGATGTCACTCAGGAACAATGATGTCATGTCAATGGATCATATTATTTACTTTCTCATCTCTTTTTGATTTTCCAATCTCTTTTTTAGTTTCTTTCTGGTCTCTTATTTACCTCTTCCTGATCTCTTTCTGATCTCTCATTGTCAGCAGTGACTGATTCATGAATGATTCCCATTGGAACATTTTCCAAATATGTCAATGATTATTTAAGCTTCTTTGCCTCAACCATTTCCACAGTTTCACTCAACTGCTGTCCACAACAACCCGAGTGAGTGAGTGAGTGAGTGAGTTAGCGAGCGAGCGAGGTTTTACGCCGCTTTTTGCAATATTCCAGCAATATCACGTTGGGGGACACCACAAATGGGCTTCACACATTGTGCCCATGTGGGGAATCGAACCCGGGTCTTCGGCGTGATGAGCGAACGCTTTAACCACAAGGCTACCCCACCGCCCCTGTTTGTTAGGCCTCGTACACATCGACTTGCCTGATGCATGTCATCATAAACCAGCAGCATAGATCAAGTCTCAAGTCAATCAATATATTCTCTCATCCTAATTTGCTTGCAGGACCATACTCAAATACTTGGGATATTGCTATTAGTACACAGGTGTTCGAATCACTGTTTGGGCAAAACTATCAGAAATAAAAATCTAGACTGTTCCAATCATATATTGTATTTATATGTTTATGATTAACATATACTTCAAATTTGAATAAAATTGTTGAAGATATAAAGATTTCAGAAAATTCTACCCCAACACTATTACATAAAATACACAAGGGGTAACACTCCCGATGCTAAAAACCTGACTGAAAACCGGACAGCCCGATTATTTTAATGTGCAGTTCAATCAAACCTTATGTTTTTCACACAAAATTGTGTTGAGCTTGTTGGTCATTCTTTAACATTTCTGCTTATCATATTCAGTTAAATGTCTAACTGCATTTCATATTTGACCACTGACCATCTCATCAAACTACCCTCAAATACAAATGTTTGGCCTCTCTTCGGTAAATATTGACAGTTTCTGAAAATCTCTGAATGACTCAGAAACAGAAAACGGCTCTCATTGGTCAATTTCTTTGTGTGTGATTATTGCGGGAAATATGAAAATTGTGTTTTCCTGTCTTTGTGGAAATTGACCAACGAGAGCAGTTTTCAGGGAGTGGGTAGTGTACAGTGATTGACACTATTCATTAATGGGGTGGGTATTCTGTACAGTGATAGACAATATTCATTAATGGGGGTGGGTATTCTGTGCAGTGATTGACAATATTCATTAATGGGGTGGGTATTCTGTGCAGTGATTGACAATATTCATTAATGAGGGTGGGTATTCTGTGATTGACACTGTTCATTAATGGGGATGGGTATTCTGTGCAGTGAACGACAATATTCATTAATGAGGGTGGGTATTCTGTGATTGACACTGTTCATTAATGGGGGTGGGTATTCTGTGCAGTGATTGACAATATTCATTAACAGGGGTGGGCATTCTGTGATTGACACTATTCATTAATGTGTGTGTGTGTGTGTGTGTGTGTGTGTGTGTGTGTGTGTGTGTGTGTGTGTGTGTGTGTGTGTGTGTGTGTGTGTGTGTGTGTGTGTGTGTGTGTGTGTGTGTGTGTGTGTGTGTGTGTGTGTGTGTGTGTGTTGTGTGTGTTATTCTGTATAGTGATTGACAATATTCATTAATGGGGGTGGGTATTCTGTACAGTGATTGACAATATTCATTAATGGGGGTGGGTATTCTGTATAGTGAGTGACAATATTCATTAATGGGGGTGGGTATTCTGTACAGTGAGTGACAATATTCATTAATGGGGGTGGGCATTCTGTGATTGACACTGTTCATTAATGGGGGTGGGTATTCTGTACAGGGTGTCCTCCCATTATGCAGACAGGCAGTTCGAAGATGCCTTAAAACAACATTTATGGTTCAATGAACAGATAAACTACTGCCTGTTACCTACACATTATAATGGAATAGTCCAAATAAAAACAAACAAAAAAATACCTGGAGCTATAATGTTTACCTTAAAAGATGGCCGAAATGACATTAATTTTAATTTTGATTGCTGCAATATAAAAAAACAGTTGATTTTCATAAACATTTTTGGTTTAACATTCTCGTCTAATGGGAGCTGGCAGCATCATATTGAAAACATTGTCAAAAAGACATCTAAATGATTGGAGCATTTCAGAATTTAAAGTTCCTACTAAATAGAACACCAGCTTTTCTTCAGGATTTACTCCCACCTGTAGTAGGCAACCGGACAAGTTAGGAGTTAAAAAACTCCAATAATTTTAGCCAACCATGTACAAGACTGAGGTACTCAACATCATCTTTTATTCCACCAGCAGTTAAAATGTGGAATAATATTCCCTAAACTATTAGAAATTGCGACTCTGTTGCATCATTTAAATCTTATATCCATGTGAAAGAAAATTGTGCACCTAAATACTATTCTTTTGCAATAAGAGAGTTAAATGTTTTGCACACAAGAATAAGATATATGATAAGTACACTTAATTATGATTTATTTAAAATAAATATAAATAAAATTATGCATCATGTCAATATGGCCATGGATGTGAGAATGTTTTTCATTACTTCCTTGAATGTCCATTGTATACTATTCAAAGACAAACTGTTACAATCTTTAGAAAGTATTGTTAAAAATTAGATCACTCATAGGTATTAATCTTATCTTACATGGCCATGCAGGTCTCTCAATTACTGAAATTCAGAATGTTTTCAGATATGTACATATCTATATCTCTCAAACAAAACGTTCTCTCACTTAAATTCTGTTGTACATATCCTATTATTGGGAGAGGGCTTTTCAATGTTGGATAACTTTACCCTTTTCTTGAATGAATATAATAGGTTTCAATCATTTCATTTCTATTTACACACTATCAAACTTCTCAGTAACGAACTTGTTTCAGGCTCGCCCTACTCTACTCACTAGACAGTGGACTGTTCCATTATACCCGTAGGTGTTACCATAATTAGCCTTCTAGTTCAGTGTCTGTCAATTGGGTGTCTGTCAAATGGGTGTCTGTCAGTTGGGAGATAACCCTGTACAGTGATTGACAATATTCATTAATGGGGGTGGGTATTCTGTACAGTGATTGACAATATTCATTAATGGGGGTGGGTATTCTGTACAGTGATTGACAATATTCATTAATGGGGGTGGGTATTCTGTACAGTGATTGACAATATTCATTAATTTATTTTTGGGGGTGGGGGTGGGGTGTATGCTGTGATTGACAATTTTTCATTAATGGGCTGGGTATTCTGTACAGTGACAGACAATATTCATTAATGGGGGTGGGTATTCTGTACAGTGATTGACAATATTCATTAATGGGGGTGGGTATTCTGTACAGTGATTGACAATATTCATTAATGGGGGGGGTATATTCTGTATAGTGATTGACAATTTTCATTAATGGGGGTGGCTATTCTGTGATTGACATTTTCATTAATGGGGTGGGTATTCTGTGGTTGACATTTTCATTAATGGGGTGGGTATTCTGTGATTGACAGTTTTCATTAATGGGGAGTCTAAACCTTATTAGCTAACATTTATTAAACTGTTACATCCCTGCTGGCTGCATGACCTGAAAATCACATTTCTTGGGTGACTAACTTTGACGGATACAGTGTAAGCATGTTTCCCGTTTGTTGTTTATTGCAGCACTTAGCGATATTCCAGCTTTATGGCAGTTCATATGTAATGAGACAATACTAAATTCTATTTACATCAATGTTCTTTGTGGTTCATTCTTTTTCGAAATACTTTCAATGGTATAACAACTGATATTGGATAACAGTCTATTCCTAACAATGTTGAGAATCATAAATATTGCTGAAAAAAATAAATATATATATATATATATATATATATATATCCCATTATTAATATCCCATTCAAAATCATTAACTTCAGATTATCTCGTAAATCTTTTGGGCGAAAGGTGCATAAATTAAATAATTACTTTCCATATATGTACTGATGCCTGTAACATTTGATAATTATAGATCCAATAATTACAAAAATTGTCAAAATTCATCAAATACTATTCATTAACTTGATTACAATATACAACCAAATTAAATATTATCTATGGTAACATTACCTTGTTTCAGCTATTGATCTATATCTTTATGATATATTCAGGTGTCTCAATTGTCTGTGGCTTCCTGTACATGCTATATATGCCTCTAACTATTGATCTGATGAAGGGGCAAGTATTTAATTAGCCCAGAACGTTGTGTGTCAATAATACAGAAGTTATACATCCATATCAATAAATATAGTGGTAACTACCACAAGGGAGGCAACTCTGTTAGATACTTGAAGCTGCAATACACAATTCATGATGCCAGTTCTTCAATGCCATTATATGAGAAACTGTTTCTAAACCATGGAATTATGTTATAGCTTTTATCAATCACATGATGCAACACAATTAAGAACAGAGCTCATTGTTACACCATATTCTGTTGCTGGTATGCATTTATGTTTATAAGTCCAACCTAGGCCAATTAGTGATCATTGCTATAGATAAAATAAGAACAGTTAATTTGTAATCTATAAGTTTAAGAAAGACCATTCAATAAAGCAAGGAATGAAATAAACCCACCCAGCTTGATCTTGATTTAGGAGAAAAAAATTCGAGCAAATGAGTGAGTGAGTGAGGTTAGTTTGACACTGCACTCAGCAATATTCCAGCTATATGGCGGCAGTCTGTAAATAATCAAGTGTGGAACAGATAAACCAGTGATCAACAGCATGAGCATTGATCTATGTAATTGGGATACAATGACATTTGTCAACCAAGTCAGCAAGCTTGACAATCCAATACCTTAGTCTCCTCTTGCAACAAGCATGGGTTACTGGTGAATAATCCTAACCTGTATCTTCTAACCGGGGTAAGCAAGGGATGAAAAAAACACACAGCTTGATTTGTTTTAAGAGAAAACATTTAAGTTGATAACAATGCACACCAGACACAAACAAAATCTGCCCCTTAAATAGTCAGAGCTACATGTACCTCATACTGGGAAATACATAAATTGTGATTTGGTTACTTCAAAATAAAATTTATATACCGATATTGATGAAATTTGCCATATTAAGTTTCAGTTGGTTGTAATGTTTGAATGTATTAAATTGAAAAAATTATAAAACTGGAGATTGCTAAACAGCTGGGGTTTATCAGAATGCCAGTTCAAACATGGCCCCAATGAGTGGTGTGTGTCAACGCAACAGTTTTTCATGCTCTATAAGATACCGACGTCTGGAAGCTGGCATTTCCAGTTTTGGGGGCAAAGCGAATGACTCGTCATGGGTTAGAGACCGGCGTGTACTGTAATGGAGACGTCATTTTTATTTGAGCAAATACGGTACACGCCCATTCATTTTAACGAAAGACTTTCAACAGTCCACAAACTGCATGTGGGGATGTTGACCGTGTGCAGAACACGATGTTCCGTGTGCAGTAAAGGCTAGTATTACGTAATTCTGGTACCTACCCATTGGTCAAGTCGAAAACATCATTTTGGCCTACCTTTAGGCCTAAGTAGGTCTGTGTGATTTTTCTGTACATGCTCGAATGTTAATAGGTCCATTGACCGACGTACTGTAACTAAAAAGCTATTCTCTTCACTTCAGAACTCATAACAAATGTGGTGACAAAAATCAGTTTTGTTTTTATTTCTGATACATGAAATGGGATAAACGGTCACACTAATAGTCAGATTTCATGACAGCCTTGAAAATCTGCAACTTACTGGGTTTGAATACGTACCAATTAAAGTCTGTGTCAGCTGAAACCTCACGTCCAAGCGGTTCCTTCCTTGCTAAACTGTTAACAGTTCTGCTTTCTCGTCGCAACTCACGTTTCCCTTGAGATGCACGTGCGCTGTGCCTTTTATGGGTTATCTCCCTTGTATGCGCCATGCGCCCGTCACGATTGTTGTTTCACGATGCGTATTTTCTCTTTGCAGTTACGGTGAGACTTTATCCCAAACTGGACCAGTTGACAATGGTCATAAGAATATACAAAAATGTTATGATGCTGTGTGCCAGGAAATGTTGGGTACACAGGGTTTCGGGGATACGCCATGTTATGTTAATATTGTCTTAAAACTGCATGAAGTACACTTCAGCTCATGACATTTTTAACGGATTAATTTAACCGCATGTTTTTGTAGCCATACCACGTCAACCTCATTTATGATCATATATAATTCAAATTCAAATAAATTTAAAATAAAAAAAATAGAAGAAAAATTGATATTGTGGTGTAGCCTAGTGGTTAAAGCGTTAGCTCATCACGCCGAAGACCCGTGTTCGATCCCCATATGGGTACAATGTGTGAAGTCCCTTCCTAGTGTTCCCCGCCGTGATATTGCTGGAATATTGCTAAAAGCAGCGTAAAACCATACTCACTCACGATTAAAAAAATACGCACTAAGGCAAAATTCAACATTTATTTCAAATTGATTCAAATGGATGAACCTCATGATAATATATTTCTGTCTTCCGACATTCAGAGCGCGATTACCTGTGCACACCTTTCACATAACAACCCGATGGGACGTATCCGTGAATATTTCATGATCATTTAATGTCAAGTGCTTTTAACCAACCTTGATATTTCCGTTTGTTTTAATATTACCTTTGTGGTGTGCATCACACAGAAAACGCACACCACACTTTGAAGGTTGTGTAAATATAATAGGAGGTAACGTGTTTGTGGGAAGAGTGAGTGAGTTTGGTTTTACGCCGCTTATTTGCAACATTCCAGCCATATCACAGCGGGTGTCGCCAGAAATCGGCTTCACAATTTGTATACGAATATGCGAAATCGAACTAAGACTTTCGGTATGACAAGTGTACGCTTTAACAACTAGTCTACCCCATCGTTCAAATGGGCACAAATGAAAAAGCATGTATTCTTGAAAAACGATACACGATCGCACGAGAATACGGCGTGTGTGTGCGTGCGTGTGTTTGTGTGTCTTTGACGTAACTAAAGGCTGACTAGTAACACACCACATGTGGGGGCTTGACACAATGGATGGTTAATTTTCAATCTCGTAATCGGACCAGATCGGAGTCCACACACACGCACGCACGCACGCACGCACACAGAATTGACGATGGGATAACCTTGTGGTGAAAGCGTTTGCTCGTCACCCCGAAGACCGGGGTTCGAATCCTCACATGGGTACACTGTGTGAAACCCATTTCCCTCGCCTTGATATTGCTGGAATATTGCTAAAAGCGGTGTAAAACTAAACTCACTCACTCATCCTCCCAGGAACCATACAATCCAAGACGCCCCAAAGGAAACTAAACCTTGCTCAGTTCCAAGTTCGTAGAACACATGTCGTAAAAGAACACGTGTGACTTCATGGCATATTGATGTGCATTAATAATTTAGAACTAACGTTTCAGTGCCAAACCTATGGTTTCTGTACACGTCGCTGAATGAAATAAACAGTGAACTGTTGTTGTATGGGCGTGTTTCTTACTTGATCAATTCATTTTGTGGGTTTTTAAAGAATAGTTCTGTCAGACATGGATCAATGTCGGTTACGACAAGCCGACAATCGGTTGGTCGGATAAGAGTCGGCACGCTGTGAACCGTGGGAAGAGTTGACTGACTGAGTTTAGTTTTACGCCGCTTTTAGCAATATTCCAGCAATATCACGGCGGGGGACACCAGAAATGGGCTTAACACATTGTGCCCATGTGGGGAATCGAACCCGGGTCTTCGGCGTGACGAGCCAACGCTTTAACCACTAGGCTACCCCACCGCCCCCATGGGAAGCAGCGTGCTGTCATTGTGCTGAGCAGTGTGAACCAGGCATTTTAGGCTTATTCCGAACTAGAATGTGCAGCTGTCGCTTCATAAGCGCACTTTTTTAGCGCAGTAATCGTGAACGCGATATTTGGTAAGATTTATTATGATAGGTAAAATATATCCGACTTTTGAGTAGAAACTGTAAATGTCATGATATACCCTGACCGCATCCGTGGTATAGTGGATAGAGTGTCTATCCGGAAAGTGGAAGGTCGGTGGTTCGATCCCCTGGCCACCTCCGTGGTGTAGTGGATATAGGGTCTGTCAAGAGAGTGGAAGGTCGGTGGTTCGATCCCCTGGCCACCTCCGTGGTGTAGTGGATAGAGTGTCTGTCAAGAGAGTGGAAGGTCGGTGGTTCGATCCCCTGGCCACCTCCGTGGTGTAGTGGATAGAGCGTCTGTCAAGAGAGTGGAAGGTCGGTGGTTAGATCCCCTGGCCACCTCCGTGGTGTAGTGGATAGAGTGTCTGTCAAGAGAGTGGAAGGTCGGTGGTTACATCCCCTGGCCACCTCCGTGGTGTAGTGGATAGAGAGTCTGTCAAGAGAACGGAAGGTCGGTGGCTCGATCGCCTAATCGCCTCTGTGGTGCAGAGTATAGAACGTCTGTCCGGAGAGTGGACGGTCAGTGGTTCGATCCCATGACCACCCCTTTGGTAGTAAATGTGTTATTGTGTGACTTGTGTTCTGGTTCGTGGCTTGATTTTCTGGTTCCTTTACATGCTGCCTACCGCAGAACTTCTGTGTACAGTCCTTTAACAGACACGTAGATTTCTGTTCAATTTTAGTGAGTTGCTGATGACTGATTGTCACAGATCCAAGTACTATCTATTTTCACCGCGATTGTGCCTTTTACGCCAAAGGATTTCTTCCAATGGATAATCGAGACTGGTTGTCTCAGGCTTGGGCGTTTCATAGACTTTACCATACCCTGGTGTCAGTATTCTAGTTCGAGACCGCGTGATCATTGCAATATGTGACTTTCAGATCTGCAGTAAGTGTCATTATAAACTTACCATATAATACCATATAATTGGACCCAGCAGAAACAGGGACTTGGATCAATTTAAAGGGACTGCCAATTTGTCCGTGCTCATTTCTCCTTTAAGTGAGTGAGTATGGGTTTACGCCGCATTTAGCAATATTCCAGCAATATCATGTCGGGGAACACCAGAAATGGACTTCTCCTTTAAGAGAAAAGATGTTTTAATAATTTGGGGTTTTTTCACAGGTGTAATCACAATATTGCGATTGCGGATTATCGGTTTTAAACTTGGCCCCAGCAAGATCTGCTGGTCTTGACAGGCGACATAAGGATCAAGTGGTCAGTCGAGGTGACGTGTTAACTGACTGACTGACTGAGTTTGGTTTTACGCCGCTTTTAGCAATATTCCAGCAACATCATGGGGGGGGACACCAGAAATGGGCTTCACACATTGTACCCATGTGGGGATTCGAACCCGGGTCTTCGGCGTGACGAGCCAACGCTTTAACCACTAGGCTACCCCACCGCCCCCGACGTGTTAACTGTTGTCACCGGGACTGGATGGGTTGGTCTTCGCTCATAATATATATTAACAACTGAATTATCCGGTCTGGATTCGATTATTTTCATACCGTGACGCAACAAGAATATTGCTGACTGTGGCATATTGCTCACTCACTCACTCACTCACTCACCCAATCACCCACCCACCCACCCACCCACCACTCACTCACTCACTCACTCACCCACCCACTCACTCATACGCACGTGCACATGCCCTTGTTAAATGCTTGCAACACACCATGCAGGGTTTCAAGATGGCGCCCTAGCTGGTAAACGTGTGCCCGCTGCGGCAAATATCCAGGTTCGAACCCACACACGTGTCCTTTGTTGATGTCGTCCTCCCTGAAATATCAGTAGTATGTACAGCCGTCGTCAACTCATAAGTTCACATGTGTTGTACCTGTTTGTTGTTTAACGCCGCACTCTGTCTCAGCATCATTCCAGGCGGTCAGTAAATATCCCAGTGACTGATATTATGAGCGTCAATCTATGGAACTGGGATACGTTGCCATGCATTAACCAAGTCAGCTAGCATGGGAGACTTGCAAAAGTCTCTAAGGTAATTAATATTTTGAATGATAATTTATAAAAAAAATATATAAATACCCCTTTAACAGACTGGCGTCCTTGTACATTCCGCTTATCTAGACTTGACTCTTTAAAGTACAGAGTTCCTATATGTTCATGGACTTTGTCTTCAGACAGGGGCGGTGGGGTAGCCTAATGTTAAAGCGTTGGCTCGTCACGCCGAAGACCCGGGTTATCCCCACATGGGTACTTGAAGCCCATTTAAAGGACAGAGTTGCTGGAATATTGTAAAAGCGGCGTAAAATGGGCTTCAGTCAGTCAGTCAGTCTCAGTACAACCTTGGAGCAAGGCTACGGGCATGGCTACCCGATCTGGTGTCTTCTCAATACAAAGAACCAGAAAAATAAAAACAAGTCTGAAATTTCGTTTTATTTTTCAATTGTCCACACACAGAAAGAGCACAATCAGATTTAATATATACACATGATAAAAGGAAGGTATATCGATTGTCTTGGTTTGACTTTTGATTGTTAGACTGTGTAAGATGAACTTACACTAATCATTACAAGACCACATGGCACTATAACGAGGAAGAAAGGTTCACAGGTCCAGTACTGATCAGCATTATAAAGAGACAGAAAGAACGTGACACACTGTTAGTGTAAGCATCTCCAAATGGCATTAGACAACGCCTACGTGTTCTCTCACAGTTTCTAGGATTACGACCGTTTCCAGGATATGAAGTTAACGAGTAACTATTACTTTTTGACTCGTTTAATGACAGTGATAATGTCAACATGATTAGAAATATATACAATGTTACAACATTCATGAAACCGACATGATAGCATCGGTGTATTTACTCAAATCAATGAATACTGTCATTGTCAATCGCAAGAACTGTTTGAATATGGCTGCAAAGACAAGATTGCAAGAGGTTGTCTAAC